TGAATTGATTTCAATGACCCCCCCCCTGTTGTGGCTTCAGTCGCCTGCCTGAAAATTCACCTACTGTAGTGTTTTTCAGCGGGTCGGACGGCACATACGTCGTGCTTTCGTGGGAAATGCACTTTGCGGTCTGCGTTCAGTCGGCTTATAACCGCCGATGCGTGCGATTAATTGCGCCAGCTCGTTAAATATTGACCAGAATCATTAAATAGGCTTCAAAACGGCAGCGATTGCTTGTGTGCCGGCTGCAGATCTGGTAAGCATGGTTTATAGCACCCACAGATAGGGCGGGGGAGAGAAGAGGAAAACTGTGGTATGCATTTTGGGCTTATTTATCTCGTTTTCGGTGGCAGCCGTAAGACCTGACCCATTGCTTTGCCTGCATCCAATGTATGCCTTAACGTTTGCGTTACGAACCTACCTGCCTGCCTGTCTCTGTCGCTCGGAAGTATTCAACCAGCGTAACCGGTTGTGTTTGAGGTCCGGAGCTTACCTTGGTTTCCGTCCTCTTAACCCTGTCCCCCAGGCTGCGTCAATTTGTATTAGAAATTGGACTACGAGGACTAGGATACTAATGCTATAAGTACGTGCCTGTGAGGCGTCAAGTAATGAGACCAAAAAACGCACTGCCAAGATACGAAACGCCTGAGGTTGTGTATCGTGCCTGGTGCAGTTGCGGGCAAAACAGGTACGTCAGAGACACTGGAAGGCTGCTCCGGACGCGCACGCGAATTGCCGAATACGCGATGGCAGTGCGAATAATTGACGCCAATCGTGCCAGGAGCTGGCCACACATTCAAGTTCGACATTCTTGTCAGAAGTGACAGTGGTAAATTGTTTGAAATGGGGTTTACGGGCTCCCAGTCTGTTAACCGGTGCAGTGGCCTTCCCAATCCATTCTCGGTGCTGAGCCTTAGTTTGGTCAAAGCTACCAGCCTCTCGCGGAGAGCGCGCAGGCGAAAACAATTTCCGACGCAAGTGATCGAGCATTCATCAAGCCAAC